CACTCACTCACTCACTTGTGCGTGCAAACTGGCTTTTTCAGAAGCCATTTCTTAGTCAGCCAAGAAAATGTTTTAAATGTAGTACACACAATGATCTCTGTGGGCAGTGTGTTTCACTGGTTCAAGGCCGTCACAGAAAAAGCAGATTTAGCAAAAGTTGTTCTACATTTTTTGACGCTGCATTCTCCTCTAGAAGTGGATCGAGTGGTTCTGGTCCTTTTGTCTGCACTCAATGAAACACATTTTCTTAGAGGAGGTGCACTAACACCATGGATAATTTTAAACAGCAAACAAACATTGGAGTACAATTTAGGTTTTCAAAGTTGAGAAAGTCATATTTAGAGAGGATGGGACCGTGATGGTACCGCCTGGACTTCTTATCATGGATCTTAAGGGCACACTTGTACAGTGACTCGACAGGTCCCATAGTGGTTTTACAGCCCTGAGACCAGCTCGAGACACAGTATACACAGTATACACAATGTGACAGGATCATGGAGTTCAGATACTTTATTGTCTGTTATTTTATTGAATTTATTTACTGTAATTTGCTATGTTTTTTATTTGTTACACTTTACTGTAACTGCATTTGTTTGACAACCGCTGCTGCTACTTGTGTTGCTATTTTTGAGGACCCTCCTGAAAACGAGATGATGCATCTCAAGAGGCTATTCCTCGTAATAAAGATATGTTAAAGATACAGATGGGACGCCTCAGTGGTGAGTGACCCCCGAATGTATCTGAAGTTGGCCAAATTAAACTTAAGAGTGTAATGGAGTTTCTTTACATGATGTTTGAAGGTCAGGTTTCGATCCAGGGTCACTCCTAAATATGAGAATACATCAACATTTTTAATTTTACTGCCATTAATAAAAATATTTGGACAACTGATATGCTTACTTCGGTTTGTAAAATACATTGAAACGGTTTTGTCTGTGTTAAATGTCAGACAGTTTTGACACAGCCAGTCAGCAACATTTTGCATTTCGTTAATTTTGTGCTACACTGAAAACCTAGGACCCTATAATTCGACATGGTGAGCTCTAGTGTAGTGTAGTGGTTAAAGCTCTGGACTGGGACTTTGCTAACTGGGGTTTGATTCCCAGGGTCAGGCTCTACTGTTTTTGGGTTAGTTTGATGAAGACTGTTTTAGGCTCAGTTTACATTATTACTAGGGCCGGGACGCAATAAAAAAAATCTAATTAATTAGAGGCTTTGTAATTAATTAATCTCGATTAATCGCATTTCAGTCGCATATAAATATTTGACCTGAGAACAGTGAGAAGTAATTTTTTTCACATGGATCTTTAGTTTACCATTGATTAAGGGCTGCTCCTACTCCGCGTCCTCCTTCTCCGTTCATGCTAGTGATGTGCTGAGCGTGCCGGGCCTTCGAAGCGTGTACCGAGTAAAAAAGAGGCGTATTTTTTGTAGCGTGGTTCGAGGCGTGTGTTGGTGACATTCGAAGCCTCGCGTAGCGGCCGCACCACGTGACGGTTCATATAGTGCTTCATATAGTTCGGAGAGTGCATTGCTTTGACAGGTGCTTTGTGATCCGCGGCTGTACCATAGACTGTATTGGCTGTCCCCGTCTGCCTCTGTGTGCGTACTGTACGTGTGTGTGTGTGCGTGTGTGTGCGTACGTGTGTGTGCGTACGTGTGTGTGCGTGATGTGGAGCAGTCCTGTACTAAGTATAGAGAAACTACTTCATATGAAATACAATTAAAAACGTTTCACTTTAGTAAAACCTCATATATCAAGGCTTCAAGTTATTAGTAATAATACGCTGGATAATACATTTCACAACAGTTGTGTGGCGCAGTCGGTATATGACGGACTCCGAAGCAGAAGATATAGCGTTCGAATCCCGGTCTACCCATAATAAATTTTGTGTTGCAAAGTAAATGTATTTATTTATTGGGAATAAATGGTTTGTTGTGTTTAATTAATCCACCTCTTGGTAGTTTTTCCTCCATTAATCACTTTCTGTAGAACTGTATTACTTTGGATGTGTTTGTTGTATCAACACAATTGACTGAAAGACTCAAATAGTTCATAGTTCATGAAGCATCATTTCAAACACAACACTTTAGACCATAGATTGTAAATATAAATTTTAACATTAGATCTCACCATTCATTGTAAGCACTTAAGAGTGTTATGTATTTTTTTGTCCACATGATGGCGTAGTGGAGCATGAATCACCTCGAGCCTTCGAACCATGGGCCGAGTAATAGGCTGCAAACCCTCAATGCATCATGGGGCTTCATATTTCCATCACTAGTTCAAGCCATTATTATAATCAGGGGTGCACATCACGTTTTCAGTGAGCTACTCCATTTGTCACGTGGTTCTTAATCGTGATTTTATACTTGCTTCTTTTTTTAATGCTTAAGGTTAGATCAGTTAAAATAATCCACTCAATCCAAGTCTGTTGACTGTTAAGTGTTGGACTTAAGTGTCATGACTGAGCTCACTGTGACAGGCAAATTAGTTTGAAAATACACACAATATGAACTCTATAGCGCCACCTATAGGAGGCTTTTTTATGCAGAAATAAACTGCATAAAAAAAGTCACTGGGTCAAATCTTTTAATCCAGACAAGCAAAAATGTTACATTACGCAGAGGGTGCATGTCCCACAGATGACCACTAGGGGTGAACTATAGCGTGCTCTCCTGACCACAGGCTCAGACCTACAGAGCTGAAACTCACATCACTAACAGTTGGCAATGACCTGAGTGTAATGGTGTGAAAACACACACCTTATATGACTCTACAGCGCCACCTATGGAAGGTTTCTCACCTAAGCTTTTCCGCTCCTCACCAAAGTTGCACAAATCAAATCTTTACACTAGTACGAGCAAAATACTACTCTACGTAGAGGGTGCATGTCCGGACGTGACCACTAGGGGCGCACTTCATCCTATTAATGAGGTATTATGTACGTAATCCTGGTCCCATCGGGCTGCCAATTCGTCGGCGAGTACGCCGCGTGACGCTTGTGGGACTGGCGCCCGGGAGGCGGTCGCAAGAGTGGCGAGGCCTTTCATCGCCGCTTGCGGCTTTAATTATTATTGTGTTTTGTCAAATATGTAGAAGAGAGAGATTAAAGTCACTTTACCTGTTGATATTATTTCTGATGTTTATTCTGCTCATATTCTCATATTCTCCGCTGCTAATGTATAATATAGACATCTGTAAATACTCCGAACCAAGTGCAATTGTAGCCCAGATTTTCTTATTTTATTTTATATTATCTTAAATTTATTGTCTATTATCTTAAATAATAGACTTTGATGTGTGCAATCTGAGTGCTCTTATTTCCTCTCTCTGCTGTAATGTGCAACGATGACACTGAAATTTCTCCACTGTGAGACTAATAAAGGTTTATCTTATCTTATCTTATCTTAAATATCAAGAACATCTTATTGTTATCTGGCATTTTATGTACATGCTTTTTTTTATGAATTTGTGTTATGTGAATGGCTCTGAAATGTAGACACTGAATAAGTTCTACACAAAACAAATTGCAACCACATTTTTTCTTTTTAATTTTAAGCTTCAGAAAAGACTTTAATCTCCATCTTTCTTCAAATGCTTTCAGCTTCCCTGCTGCCTCCTCCGGTAAATGTCTCACCAGGGCATCCACAATCAGTTTAAACTCACTGTCCAAAAAGAACAGTCACAGATTAGATGTTGCAGTAAACATTGAAATATTTCCATCAATATTTAAAATAATCTTACCATGGTTCATACTGAAGAAGATGACATAGTCTGGGATCGCGTCTTAAATTCAGACAGAAGACATGTTTTATTGTCGATGGTAGAGACAGCACAAACAAAACACACGATCACAGATACAATAGAATGCAAGTGTATTATACAGAGCGGAGGCATGGAGACCTCCAATCAGCAGCTGCCACGGAGTGCTTGTAGCTTGGCCTTCAGATAGACACAACAAGGGAAAAGTACTGGCTTCTGCACATTGATAGAATGATGAGTTTAACTTTAACAAAAGTTGCTTCAAAGTGTTATGAAATCTCACAATACTTTGGCCCCTTTTTGAATCTTCCAATTGCCTCTTGCTGAGGCAGGTGAAATGCCTCGGCCAGAGTGTGAACTGTCACCTAGATAAGAGTGAAATGTGTTACATTCAACAACAACAATTCACAAATGCAGCCCTAAAAGGTGTTGTGTCCTGTTTAATATATTGTCAGTGACTTGCACTTATGACTTTATGGTCTCTGTACATCAATAATGTTGCAATGCAGACTTATTTTTAGTAGTGTACATCCAGGAAACATGTACCATGAGATGTTTATGTTTGAGGGGGATCAGTGTTTGTTTTATGCACACTTTCATTACAATAGTCTCTGTGCCAGCCTGGAGGCGCTCGGGCCTACTAATGTAAAACAAACATTATGTTAAAGCTGCACTAACTGACTTTATTTTTGTATTCATTACGAAAATGCTATCCATGTCCATGTAGTGCATTGGGATATACATCATTTTGAAGAAAAAGTAGCGCAGATTTGTGCTGGCGTGACATTATATTTTAGATCGAGTTTTGATGAAACAAGGAAGAGAATGTGTTTCGGGTCGCGGATTGTGACCAATAGCAGCGGACCACTAGCTCCCACTTTCGTGAGAAATCTACAGGTCCGTTAGCATAGACGGCTGAGTTAGCACAACAAGCCGAGGAGCTAACCTGAAACTTCGTGTGTCTTCGTCACCGGATACTGCTTACACAGCGAAACAGCCATCCAAAAGAAAGTCCCGTTCCTCCGCGCTTCCCGGTTCTATCGTTCTATGGTCACGCCATCCACGTACAAATCCATATTCGTGTATTATCCATATTGGGAGACACTAACTCCGTCCCAACAGTGAGTGTGTGTGGGGGGCGATAGCTTCGTGGGTGCGGGGAGGGGAGCAGAGAGAGCGAGGCCAGAGAGTCCACGGCTTCAAAATCCCAAAGTCAGTTAGTGCAGCTTTAATCATGCTATACTTACGGTACGAGCACAATCATGACGACGTCAATCCAGTCGTTCTGCTGTCTTGCTCTTGGGGTCTCCCTGATGACGGCAAACAAGAAGGAGACAACCTCATCCAGTTGCTCGTCCTCAAAGTAAAGGGTTGGCCTCTCCCTCCTGGATTCCCATGTTGAAACAAAGTCCCCAGTTAAGATAGCTTGAAAAAGAATAGTTATATTAGAGGATGGAGATGGTCATTATTGATAGTAATAGCCATATTGACAGTATGACTAAAATGACAACAACAACAAAATTATTGAGAAAGTCTTTCACTTTGCAATCTTACTAAGTACATCTTCATGCTGATATGTTTACCTTCCCTAATTGAGCTGCTCCCCTTCATGCACTTGATCGTCAGCACACTCAAGTTGCTGCACCCACTGTGTTTCTTTTACCGCTTTCTAAAATTTAAAAATACATTTCTCACAAATAATTTTGAAATAACGGTTGTTAATAATTATGGAGTGGCTTTTCACTATCCTCCAGTAACTCACAATTGTTCTAGCATTCGTTATTCCATAACATTATCATCAGTATCAACATTAAAATCATAACATGTGCACTTTATGTAATGTCTTATAATGTTGTCAGTCACTTACCAACTGTGTTTGCTGGACAATTTCTGTCATTTTTGCCGTGCACTGGTCGGTCATTGTCCAAGGGCGCTGCTGAAAAAGGATGCAAGTTGCTAATGTGTTCGTTCAAGGCCACTATGAATATCACTCAGTAATGATTGTGATGTCACATGTTTACATTTGTCTCTTCAGTAGCCTGTCTCTTCCTCTTCAGTCTGAAGATGGGTGAAAGACACCCATTGACCATTTGTTTTCCCTCTTTGGTGAAATGAGCAAACTGTCCTCCATGCCTGAAGAAACAAATTATAGAATCCAGAAAAGCAACTGAAACAACTTTTTTTTGTCAAACAATTTCACAGGCTTTGGAATAAGCAACCAATAAAACATGTAATTGTCTGGTAGCAGTGTTGTTGAAGAAGATATATACAGATATATACCCCACCATCTCCACAGTACTGGCACATGCCCTTTCATGGGTTTGCATGTGTGTGATGATCTGTGCCTCTCCATGTTTAAAACGAGTTACACACATGAGCGTGTTCCTCTGCTTCAGCTCTGCAGCTCCATGTCCATCACTGACAATCGTAGGATGTAACTGAAAGCAGACATAAACAGACATTTGTGCACACTCAGAAACACAAATGTCTTGTAACATCATCCAATAACTACGGTCAGTGACTTCTGTAACTGCATAATTAATAACTAATTTTCCACTGTGCTTGGAAAACATGAAAAGGTTATGTTTTTCCTCTTTATTACCATTTTAACGATGTAAAATGACTTGGGCAATTATGCTATGTGCCTAACGACTTGTTGATCGCACATAGTATGACTCAGAAGAAACCCATACGAATTGCTTTCTCTGCAATGTATTCGTAGATCCATGGTAGTAGTTCACTTCTTAAAAAACATTTCTAATCAGGGTGATGTGCATTTATTCATTAATACACTGTAACTTGTGTGACGGACTAAAAATAAATAAAACACGTTGTTGGTTGTCACTTACTGTTTGCGTACGGTCAGCCATGTCTTCTCTTCGAGTTTTCAACGGGTTTAAACTTCGTGAAGTAGGCGTGTCGGGTAGTGACGTCACTACCCGACACGCCTCCGTACTGCATGCCGCAGACAGACCCTTCTCTCAGGTCTCGCCTCCTAACTCGCCTGTGGCTACGCGGCCTTCCCTCGATGCCTACATATCCACCCTACGCGGCCCGATGCCTGGCGTTTTGGACACAGCCTGGGATCAGCGCATGCAGCCTCTGTCAGGGTCCAGCTTATAGTCTGTTTGTGTTAGCATCATGTCAACTTGAAGAAAAAGTGTTTTTGAATTTAATGCCTCTGAAATCTGCGCCGTACAGTATCTGTTTTTCTGCAAGTGACACTTCCCCAAGATTGTTCTAGAAATACGGTTACCTTGAAACTGAACTTACTCAAAAGTTGATCTTGAAATCTGGTTCAAAAAAGACGATAAAAAGACGCTAACTAGGAGCCTCGATCTGAAGTAGAGTACAACTAACTCTCGGTTTACTAAGTGTTAAATAAATAATTAGGGTCTAATTCTGGATCAAGGACATAGGGCTCTGTGACGGGTGCCATTGTTGGAAAAAGTCTATTCTCAGGTCTGAAATGATCATGTACCGGCGAAAACTCAACCATAGCTTTGTTTACCTCGAACTTAGCATGAGGCTATGTCACCGCGCAGGTGGAGGCGGGTGGAGGCCGCCCAACAGACAAATGAGCACAGATCCAAGCCTTTCACATGAGGTGACATCACCTATATGCACGAAATGAGTGTTGTATTGTGTATCACCCAAATTATTATCACACATGGACAGTACATAGGATGGAATGTGAAAAATGAAGAAAAGCAAAGAATAGGGCTGTTAAAAAAACAATAAACTTATAAACTCCTTTGTAAAGTTTTGATAAACTTGAAGGAGTTTATGAAAACATGAGGCTAACCCTAAACCTCTGTCTGAGATCAGAGAAATCTAACAAACAGACCTTTCCTCTGCTCTCACCTTGTGTTGGTCAAAGGAGGTGAGTTTGGAGGACTTCATCTTGGAGGATGATGTGAGCCCTCTCCCTGACATCTTCACCCGGCTTCAAAAGAGACACCATGTGTTCGACAACGAAGCCTGGGGCCCCGAGCAAGTCCAGGGTCTGCTGCAGACAATCAACACAGAGTTTTTCCCAGGTGAGTCTGCTCAAGAGCAGGTGAGTGTCCTGGGACTGTCTGGGACAGATCTGATCAGTGTTTCTGATCTGCAGGTCTTGGACCAGCAGTCCTTGATCTTGGACCAGCAGACCATGATCTTGGACCAGCAGTCCTTGATCTTGGACCAGCAGACCTTGATCTTGGACCAGCAGCCCTTGATCTTGCAGAGTTACGGCTGGTGCTGATTGGTCTGCCTGGAGCAGGAAAGAGCTCTTCTGGAAACACCATCCTGGGGCAGAACCTGTTCAAAGCCAGTTGTGGGTTTGATCCCGTGAACACACAGGCAGAGCGTAAGACTGGTACAGTGCTCGGGCGGGAGGTCACAGTGGTGGACACTCCTGGCTTCAGTGATGTAGGCATTCGTCCAAAGAAACTGTTCAAACGCATCATGAAGTCCGTCCTGGAGCTGACTAAAGGACCTCATGCCTTCATCATCGTGGTGCGACTCGGGCGGGTTCACTGCAGAGACACCAAACTGCTGAGGCTCATCCCCAAACTGTTCGACAAAACAGCGTCCAAGTTCACCATGGTGCTGTTCACTCACGGAGACAACCTGGGAACAGAGAACGTCGATGTCCTCATCGACCGCAACACCACCATGAGTACGCTGGTGCAGATGTGTCAGCGCCGATACTGCGTCTTCTACAACAAGAGCAGCAACCGGCACCAAGTCCACGATCTGTTTCAGCAAATCAGCATCATGGTAGAGGCCAGCGGACACCCACAGTGCGACTCGCAAATATTCAAACTGACGACAGCGGCAGAGATAAAGCTGTTCTTGGAGGAACTGTGGGAAAAATGTAAGGCCAAGTTTACAAGCTGTTTTCGACCAAACAAGGACGACGAGGACGAGGAGAGGGTGCCGCTAACAAATATGAGCTGAGCTAGGGCTCAGGCTCATGAAGTCAAAGTTGAATATATTCAACTAATTAAGAGTAAAACAATGTATTATTACTACAGCTACTGCTGCTACTACTGTGCTTCTGCTACACTCCTACTGATTATGATATTAGACCAAATGGTGCATATTAACAGAATGACTTAATAAACTATTCAGATAAAACATGTGTGTGTGTATAAATGTGCATGTCCGTGTGTATTATAATAGATCCATGGTGTGTATGCTTCACTGTGAGCACTTCCTAGCTAGCTTCATTGAGCTAGCCGGTTAGAATTGTCCATCTATATACAGTCTACGAGCAGTGTTGGTAGTCGTGTAATTACTGTAATATTTTCTTTTTCTTGCTGTAACGCAGCAATGTGTGTTATTATTATAATCTGCAAGACCAGCGAGAGCGGAACAAAACTGCTGCAATAGCAGCCGCCAAGAAGTTTTTCACCAGTCTGGTAAAAGATGGCTGAAGCTGAAGCTTAAAGGTGCTATACCCATTTCTGCAATGTTTGAATGTTTAGCACCGCCCCCAACTCGCTCACAGGCTTCTCATTTCCCCTACGCTCTCATAACACGGAGCCACCTAGTTTTATTTGCGATCTGGTATGTATGCTAACATTAGCATTAGCACAACTTCTTGTAAACTGTGCAACAATCACTGATGAAATGGTACAAAAGCAACGCACTGCTAACACAATATATACAGTGCCTTGCGAAAGTATTCGGCCCCCTTGAACCTTCAAGATTCAAGATTCATTTATTGGCCATGTGCAGTTAAAAAAACCACATTGGAATACATACGCAAGAAAGGCACTCCGTGTGCACCGACAGAACAAAAACACGACACAATGCAATACAAAACACACATACACTGAACATAAAACAATAAAAAAAACAGCTGACACTGTGGCACCGATCAACAAAACAATACAGGGGTAAAAGCAGTTTAAAAGCAGGTAAAACATTTCGCCACATTTCAGGCTTCAAACATGAAGATAGAAAATTTAATTTTTTGTCATGAATCAACAACAAGTGAGACACAATCGTGAAGTGGAACGAAATGAATTGGATAATTTAAACTTTTTTAACAAATAACTGAAAAGTGGGGCGTGCAATATTATTCGGCCCCTTTACTTTCAGTGCAGCAAACTCAGTCCAGAAGTTCAGTGAGGATCTTTGAATGATCCAATGTTGTCCTAAATGACTGATGATGATAAATAGAATGCACCTGTGTGTAATCAAGTCTCCGTATAAATGCACCTGCTCTTTGATAGTCTCAGGGTTCTGTTTAAAGCGCAGAGAGAACCATGATGACAAAGGAACACACCAGGCAGGTCCGAGATACTGTTGTGGAGAAGTTTAAAGCTGGATTTGGATACAAAAAGATTTCCCAAGCTTTAAACATCTCAAGGAGCACTGTGCAAGCAATTATATTGAAATGGAAGGAGTATCAGACCACTGCAAATCTACCAAGACCCGGCCGTCCCTCCAAACTTTCATCTCAAACAAGGAGAAGACTGATCAGAGATGCAGACAAGAGGCCCATGATCACTCTGGATGAACCGCAGATAACTACAGCTGAGGTGGGAGAGTCTGTCCATAGAACAACAATCAGTCGTGCAAATCTGGCCTTTATGGAAGAGTGGCAAGAAGAAAGCCATTTCTCAAAGATATCCATAAAAAGTCTCGTTTAAAGTTTGCCACAAGCCACCTGGGAGACACACCAAACATGTGGAAGAAGGGGCTCTGGTCAGATGAAACCAAAATCGAACTTTTTGGCCACAATGCAAAACGATATGTTTGGCGTAAAAGCAACACAGCTCATCACCCTGAACACACCATCCCCACTGTCAAACATGGTGGTGGCAGCATCATGCTTTGGGCCTGCTTTTCTTCAGCAGGGACAGGGAAGATGGCTAAAATTGATGGGAAGATGGATGGAGCCAAATACAGGACCATTCTGGAAGAAAACCTGTTGGAGTCTGCAAAAGACCTGAGACTGGGACGGAGATTTATCTTCCAACAGGACAATGATCCAAAACATAAAGCCAAATCTACAATGGAATGGTTCACAAATAGACGTATCCAGGTGTTAGAATGGCCAAGTCAAAGTCCAGACCTGAATCCAATCCAGAATCTGTGGAAAGACCTGAAGACTGCTGTTCACAAACGCTCTCCATCCAACCTCACTGAGCTCGAGCTGTTTTGCAAGGAAGAATGGGCAAGAATTCCAGTCTCTCGATGTGCAAAACTGATAGAGACATACCCCAAGCGACTTGCAGCTGTAATTGCAGCAAAAGGTGGCGCTACAAAGTATTAGCACAAGGGGGCCGAATAATATTGCACGCCCCACTTTTCAGTTTTTTATTTGTTAAAAGAGTTTAAATTATCCAATAAATTTTTTTCCACTTCACGATTGTGCCCCACTTGTTGTTGATTCATGACAAAAAATTAAATTTTTATATCTTTATGTTTGAAGCCTGAAATGTGGCGAAATGTTGAAAGGTTCAAGGGGGCCGAATACGTTCGCAAGGCACTGTAAGTAAAAGAATACCGCTAGTTTCGCGTCCGAATGTATTAATTTAAACATTAGAATATATTCTAATATTTAATTATAATTTATTATACAGCTCCTCACAGCAGCAGTAGAACACTCCATTGACTTGAATGCAATTCTTCCGATCATTTTTTCTTGATGACAGAACTCTCAAACCAATAATGACCTTTGGCAACGCAATCTCTGTTTGTAATTCAGGTGTGTAAAATACTGCCATTACTCTGCAAGTACAACAAGCTATCAGCGCCTGTCACTACACACTTGTCTGTGTAGAGAAGCTAGCGGAGCTAGCCACGCTCAATTAACAAATACATATCTATCAATCAACACCATTAAACATTAATCAGACAGTACAGTATACATATACATCCTTAACACACATGCACGGACGATTTCAGAATTTGCTGTCAACGTTTTCATGACAAAAATACTGTTTTAAAGTGACAAAAAGCGATCGCGAAAAACCCGCTAGCTTAGCTGTTACCTGCCTAGCACGTCCCGGTGAAACCTTTGGGAGCTAACTATTTTATTTGCAGTCATTAAATACATTTCTAATTATAAGGGTTGTCTAGTATTTGTTCAAATATGTATATATTTTTTATTTTAGAATTATATTTGAATGTTGAAGTGGAAGCCCTGGTGTTAAGCAGCGCTGTAGAGACTAGAGGACGCAGGCTGTTCACTGCTCGTTCTGTGAGTGGAGGAGAACGTCCCGCTCAGACTCTACTCAGCACTTTTCACTGCATACATTTCTTACACAGTTGAATCAATGACCTCAAGTTTTCAATTAAATTATGTATTATGATACAACTTGTATGTAGTAGAAAGCATTTTTATGAACTACTTAGGAAAAAAATTGGGTATAGCTTCTTTAAGGAGAAAACTATGTTAGAAAAGACAGGCAGTAATAGTGTAATACTTTACAATTCAGAGACTGTGATGTTGTAGTGCAACTCATTACTTTGAAATAACAATAATAAATAGTATTGTAACGTCCTGGCTCGAGGTAATGAATGAGACAGTGTTCTACTTTCTACTTTATTACAAGATGGTTACTGTCGGCCATAACCACGCCAATACAGCTCCAAACTTAGCAGAACAGCAGCCCGTTTGCAGTCCCCGGGAAAAGAGAGCGTTAAAACAATCTTCCCTATGCCCCCTAGTAGGCCCCCCTAGATTTTGAATTTTTTTAGCTTGAATTTTTCCATTTGAAATTTTTAACCCTGAAAAAGCATGTTTGAATATTTTTATCTTTGCATTTCAATCACTAAAAATTCAGTTTACAAATTTCAATGTGATTAAAATTTCTAAATATTCAATATATTTTTTTTCAATGAAAAAAAAAAAGACGGATTATTTGTTCCATCAGAAATTGAATTTTAAATGGACCTGAATTCATCTATTTGAATGTTTTTAACATCTTCAATATTTGTTTCTGTGAATTTCAGTCACTGATTATTATTACGAGAAAAAATTAAACGAGAAAAAATTCAATGGTGAAAAATGCACATGACACATCCGGTGTTCTGACGAGTTGTGTGCTCTGTCAGTTAGTCTGTCAGTTGGTCTGTCAGTTGGTCTGTCAGTTGGTCTGTCAGTTAGTCTGTCAGTTAGTCTGTCAGTTGGTCTGTCAGTTGGTCTGTCAGTTGGTCTGTCAGTTGGTCTGTCAGTTGGTCTGTCAGTTGGTCTGTCAGTTGGTCTGTCAGTTGGTCTGTCAGTTGGTCTGTCAGTTGGTCTGTCAGTTGGTCTGTCAGTTGGTCTGTCAGTTGGTCTGTCAGTTGGTCTGTCAGTTGGTCTGTCAGTTGGTCTGTCAGTTGGTCTGTCAGTTGGTCTGTCAGTTGGTCTGCGCATGCGTCATTTTACTGAGGTAAAGACAGGCGTAGCTTTCAGCAGGTCTATCGGTTGATGACATGAATCTAACAGGTTGATAACATGAATCTAACAGGTTGATAACATGAATCTAACAGGTTGATAACATGAATCTAACAGGTTGATAACATGAGTCTAACAGGTTGATAACATGAATCTAACAGGTTGGTAACATGAATCTAACAGGTTGATAACATGAATCTAACAGGTTGATAACATGAATCTAACAGGTTGATGACATGAATCTAACAGGTTGATAACATGAGTCTAACAGGTTGATAACATGAATCTAACAGGTTGATGACATGAATCTAACAGGTTGATAACATGAATCTAACAGGTTGATGACATGAATCTAACAGGTTGATAACATGAGTCTAACAGGTTGGTAACATGAATCTAACAGGTTGATAACATGAATCTAACAGGTTGATAACATGAATCTAACAGGTTGATGACATGAATCTTACAGGTTGATAACATGAATCTAACAGGTTGATAACATGAATCTAACAGGTTGATGACATGAATCTAACAGGTTGATAACATGAGTCTAACAGGTTGA